ATATAATAAATTAAAATTATATATAGTAAATTGATATTATGGAGTGAGGGATGATTCCTGCTACTGGAAGAACAGCAATCAGAATGGAGGTCTATGTGTGAAAGAAGTCTTTGTAACCCTACTGCATACACAGGACTGCCTAAGTATTAGTTTTTCAGATCTCTGGAAACTGTGCTAAACTTGTATGTGTTTGATCGCATGTGTGGAAGACCTGGGGACTCCAGATGGCATAGCCTTTGACTGGATCAACAACAGAGTGTACTACAGTGACTACCTCAATCAGACTATCAGCTCAATGGCTGTGGATGGATCTAACCGCACGGTGATTGCGCGGGTTCCACGACCGAGAGCCATTGTATTAGATCCCTGCAGAGGGTATGTGTAGCAGTTTGTATACTTTGACTGTAGGTGAAACTACTGATAAGACTTTGACAAACACTGGCAGATACTTCCTGCTCTGAGCCCTAAGTTCTAACTGTGCATAAGTGTCCTAGACCTAACTTTTTAGGTTTAAGTTTTCTAAGCTGATCTCAGCCTCAAAGATTTGAGTTTCCTGAGATTTTTAGAATACTGATGAACGTGTAGTGCATGAGGCTCCACTTACTGATGGTGGGAGCCAGGTGCTGTGGGTAAATGAGAATGATGTTCAAAGCAGGCGTTTGTCAAGCAACTAACCATCCTCCATTTGCTGTGTAAGGCAAAATCTTGTAAGTTTCTTCAAGAATACGACAGAGATCTTTCTATGTAGAGTCTTTCCCTTTTTCTGTGATATTTTCTGAGTGCCTCAGCCGAATTCTGGTTTCAGTATCAAAGCATTTCCTGAGAGATTGGGTTATTACCGTATTTCTAATTTCATTATTAATTATACTGTATTTCAAATTAAGAAAGAGAGAGATGAATTGACATTATTGAATTCTCATAGAAGCTGGAAAAATCTTTCTGAAGTTCACTCCTGTGGATCCCAGTGACCCTTGCTTGAAGATTCTCTTGTCAATGTGTGGGCCAAAATGGAGGAATTAGTTATTTTCCACTAGTTTTGCACTGCACATTTCAATGAGGGATGGCAGGATAGTAATATCCTAGATAAGAGCTTTGTGAGCTTTGTTTGCTGAAAATATAATCTTGTAATCACGTTATTGACAGGTATATGTACTGGACTGACTGGAGTTCAAATGCAAAGATTGAACGAGCTACACTAGGAGGAAACTTCAGAACACCTATTGTGAGCTCCAATTTGGTATGGCCAAATGGGCTCACCCTGGACTATGAAGAACAGCAGCTATACTGGGCTGATGCAAATCTGTATGTATTGTAACACACTTTTTGGTTTACATTTGGTTAATTTTTTAATAGATCTATTATCTATTTTTCCTCATTTTCAAAACTGCTTTTCAGCATTTCAATTGAATTTGCTGCTTTGTATTATAGAACATTAAACGTTACTTACTAGTAATGCAATGTCAAGTCTTGATGTGGAACTGCTGTGCAGTAAGAAGTTTTGCTATGCCATAGTGTAGACTTAGTCCACTGCTTTATGGCATTTGTACCCACTGGCTGTTTGTTGGTCTTATGTGCAACTCAGGACATTTATAAGCATCTTCGCTAACAGATAAAATCCCGGTGCACATTTTATATCATTCATTGCTCATGGTTAATGCCTGTCAGCTGTAGAATTTGGCATGATGTTCTTGCTGTAGCCTACCAGACAGAACTCTAACCTTCAATTTATGCCACCAGAATTTCTGCTGTTAGCAGGAAAGTTTCCTAAAATGATTTAGTTTGCATCCATTCAAGTTCACCCAGGGTCTCAGAGGAATCACTGCAGCAATCATACTTTTCCCCTCTGGTTCCTTCAACATAGCAGTTCTTTTGCCTGCTTGTCCTTTGCTGTGTAATAACTATTATGGTCAGTTCCCCTGTTGGGTCTTCTGGGAGGAAGGCATTCTCTGGATTCATCTTTGTGCAGAAAGGCAAGGCACCTGTAATGGGGTCCCCTATTTTAAAGGGAACGCAGGGTGTCAAATGAGACATCTTCTTGTCTCTTTCAAACTCTAGTGAATGGAGGTAGGGGAGCATCTGCTTAAACAGTATGAAGTCATCTTTATTCTGACTTTCATAGGGAGCGCCTTTACCTCTTTAGAAGGACAGATTCCAGCATGGGGTAAGATATGAAGACCAGACACTCAAAAATGATGTGCTCCTTAGCTCTCAATGCACCAAGAGACCACAAGGGTGAACTGTATTCTCTCCTTCATTTTTACTTTTGCTTATTCTCCTCTTGTTTATGCTAGTCTCCCAAAGGTGCTATCCCTCTTTCTCTAAAGTAGTGTTTTAGACTTTTGTTCTAGACTCCCCTGTTGCCTTGTAAGTATTGTGATACCACTGGGCACACACACAAGTCTGGAGATACATCTTGAGTAACTAGTTGTACACTGTTCCTTTCCCATATCTTCACAGTTGCTGCATGCAACATAGTAAGAATCCCTCACCAGATAGCATGTTGACACTTGGGAACTATGTACAGGGCTACCTCTAAAAAGTTCTCTGTGCCATGAAAGGGGGAAATTACCTGAGCCTGTATTGCAGGAGAGTTGCTTTTGAGCTTCTTTTGTTTTGTAGAAGTGAAATTTCACAGAAAACTGCCTTCCTGTTCTTTCATATTAAAGCTTTTACCTTATACAGTGTCCACCTATTATTATTTTCCTGCAATAATTACTAATTTTTTTTTTCTTCTCCTTAGATTAAATGTATCCTTTTCCTTCCTGCTAGTGATGACAAAGGAGAGGAGCTGTTCAGATTTTTGAGAAATTTTCTATCTGCTCATTTTCTCTTAGTGGCTGTTTCCATTCTCACTGAACTCACACTGGTAGTCTAGTGAATGCTTTAAATAGAATTGGTAAGAATTAAATTTTGTCTCTAGTGAAGACTTAAACATACAGTTGCTTTGAGGTTAGATAAAATACATTCAAGTGCTAATGGAAAGTTATTGGAGCATTTCTGTAAGAACTCTTTTGGTGACTTGAACTGAAGGAGGGAGATCACACCTGGAGTCTCCAGTAACAACATTTGGATCTTCCAACTTCACAGGCGAGAGGTATTGGCCACAGAGTGATGAACAGGGGGAGAATCTGCTGGCAGGAAGAAAATCACCAGTTATGGTATCTTTAGTCCCATGGCTTCTTTATCCTTATCCTCTGTGGAGCCATTCTAGGATTCTTACTAGCTTCTTTTCAGAAGCTTGTGTGTGAAACATGCTACAGCCTCTTAGAGAATCGTTCTGTTCCACTGACATTGCAGAAACACCACTCCACTTCTTAGGCATTATACCCTTATATGTAAGCGTATTGTACTACCTCTATCTGCTCTTCAGAGATGAGTATGAAGAGCAGTGCAGTTGAATCATGCCATACGTGATGAAGCGGAGCCAATCCCAAGTGTGTTCTTTCTGTCAGTAAGCATTTGGCAGTCCCCTCATGTGAATGTTCAGTGTGACTGAACAGTAAGATGCTTGGAGCTGCAGGCAAGGAACAGCTCATTCTTGTTCTATCTTCAATTTGGTGACTGTACATCTCATTTTCAGCATTTACTGAATATCTTGATATTTTCCATCAAGCTCTTTCTTTTCTTTTGAATAACCCCCTCTATTCCCCCTCTTGTTATCCTCATTGCAAATAACTTTTGAACATCTTCCATTTTCTCTTCTCTCGTGCTTCATTCTTGTATGATCTACCAGACAGGACTCTGTGGTAAAAGGAACCTCTAACATTTATCACGATTTTATAAACAACGCTTAGAAATAATGTCCTTGAATGAACAGTGCACATTGAGTTTCCTGGCATCAGCATGTCATCTTCTGCTTCCCCACTGACCTTTGCTGAAATGGTCATTGAGGGTGGGAATAACTGGTGGGGGAGAAGCAGTGACAAGGTGGTTGTAGGTTGTTAGTGCTGTCTGTGCAAGTAAATAATGATTCATATACAGCAGAACGTTCTTTCAGAACTTGGATCTGAACCCTGATTTTCTGTGGCTCCTTGAAGTCTTATTTGTTGGAATTTTGCTTAGCATTGCTAACACTGTTCATAAGATAGAATCAAAAATGGAAGATCAACTAGGAAGAAATGTTTATCATATGCTATCAAATTTATCATTTGTGGCTAGTAGATGCTATATATATAGTGGTGGTTATATATTAGAACTGTTTTCCCCTCCTGTATTCTTATGTGAGAAATGGCAGAAAATGCGTGTTTGTCATCTCATGAATTTTCTTGTATTTCCTGATTGTGTAAATCTGGATCTGCGGAAGATAAAATTGAAATGAAAACATGTCCCATTTCGTGGGACTGTTGGTTTTCTCCTATTGCAAGAAGTCATTAACATCATACCCATCCCCAAAATGTATTCTCTCGAAGTTTCGCATTCATTTTAGCTCTCAGTAGTGCAGCTGTTTAAACAGTTCAGTCTTCAGACTGCCAGTCCCAGTACATTATTGTGTCAGTATTACAGAGCTGCTATGATGCATTACTATTGGAAAAATTGAGATTTTTAACTCAAAACGACACCCTACATATTGGTGCACATTACTGAAATGGTAGATACTAGTTGCTGGACTAATTAAGGCATGGCTTTATTCATAAGTCCAAAGAATTCTTTCTTTTAAGATGTAATAATTTCTTTGTTATTTTAGGCAAAAGATTGAACGATGCACTCTCACTGGTACAAATCGTGAGGTAATTGTTAGCACTGCTCTGCATCCATTTGCAATGACATTGTTTGATCAGCACATATATTGGACAGACTGGAGCACACAAAGCATTTACCGAGCTAATAAGTATGATGGTTCAGATCAGATTGTAATGATCATGAATCTCCCACAAAGACCAATGGATATTCATGTCTGGGCAAAAAGTAAGCAGCAACAGTGTACCAACCCTTGCAACCAGTTCAATGGTGGCTGCAGTCACATCTGTGCACCAGGTAAGCTCTTATGCTTGATGACTGTAAGGTATTAGTGTTGCCTGTATGAGAGTTCATAATAGAATATGTTTAATATTTATTTTATTTATAAATGCAATCAAAATGATTGCCATTCAAGGTCATGGTATTTTGCCAACACATCTGGGGGTTGTGTGTGAGAATCCTCACAAATAAAAGTTCTAGGTTTCTCTAATTTAAACCAAAATACTGTTTTCTGGGGTTTTAATGTTTTTTTTTTCCTCTGGGATGAGACAGTATATACTTACCTTAGGGATATATACCAATATGTTGCATACTGAAAAGATATTTCCTACCACATATTTAAAAAGTGTTTATGGTCACCATTTCTTTATCACATGATAGTCTGAAGTCTTTACCTATTTATTTTCCAAAATAAATGTTTCTACTGACTTGTTTTAAATGTTGGACAATTAGTAAGAAGGTAGCACAAATTTATTTCTATCTACACGGTGGGGCAGGTGTCCTTTTGAGTCATGGGCTCCAGTATCATACTCTATATCGTCAGCTGCATAGTGGGGTGAGACCTGAGTGACATATGTCTCCCATCTTGTAACTCTCCTTATGCACAGCTAAGGAGAGAGTTCAAGTGTGCCAACAGGTCACCAGTCCAGATGGCCAGGAAGCCAGAATGGCAGTATACCCTGAAAAGCATACCTGTTAAAGAGCTCTTTCATGTGTTGTGGATTTTTGGAGGTCACGATCCTTGACTTTGAAAAACTCATTCCGTGCCTGCTTGTAGCATCTTAAAGGTGTTTGAAAATCTGTCTTGCCTGAAAACAACTCGAACTCGTAATTGGTTTTGAGAAGAGCAGTTAGTCTAGTGCAAGGAGTTTTGAACACCCTGTTTTGATTTTGAGGGATAGAGCCTTATCAGAGCTGGTGTAGCTCTGATATTTGAAAGCGTCAGATGCCATCTTGCAGCCACCCAAAAACTATTTGGACAAGAAAATATTAAGGTACTCCAAGTTCTCATCTCAGTACCTTTAAGGAACACTGGAATAACTCTTGTGGGTTTTAATGGGTTTTCTTATGCTTAACTGAGACAAAAATCTGGCTAAGTCACCACACTTCGAAGGAGATCTTACAGGAGTTGTGAGAATTGCATTGTCTTTTCCAGCGTTACAGCTGTGAACAGTTTCATAAAACCCTATCTAAAGCAGCAATGTTGCATTTGTTCCATTGTTTGTTTTCTTTTTAAATATTTTTTTTTTCTTTACTGTCAAACATAAATGTAGGTCCAGCTGGTGCAGAATGTCAGTGCCCCTCTGAAGGTCGCTGGTATTTAGCCAATAACAACAAGCACTGCATTGTGGATAATGGTACCAGGTGTGATACTGGTTTCTTCACATGCCTTAATGGGCAGTGTATCTCCGAGCGATGGAAATGTGACAATGACAATGATTGTGGTGATGGCAGTGATGAGTTGGAAAGTGTGTGTGGTAAGCATTTAAAATATCTTCATGAGAAAGTGGTGCATACTCTTTCTTACCTGTACTGTATTCTCACTTTTATGGCTTTATGATCAGGGATCTTATGGCTGCCATTGGAAACAATCTCTTGCTTGCTCACAGACTTGAGGTCCGAATGGCTGTTCATTTGCTCTAGAATCCAAAAGCACTGTGGTATTGAATCTTTATCACGTATAGGCGATTTCTACTTTGTTTAATTCAAATCTGTGTTTTACTTTTCATGCAGTCCGTTTTGCAGCTGTGTTTGCCCTGGCAGGTAAAAATATTGTGATTTTACTTGTTACTTTGTCACAGAGCTTAGATTACATTGTATCCATGTATATTCTTACCTATTTACTTATTTATCCATTTATTTTCTCTGCAGCTTTCCATACTTGTCAGCCAACAGCTTTTACCTGTGGTAATGGGCGATGTGTGCCCTATCATTACCGCTGTGATCACTACAATGACTGTGGGGATAACAGTGATGAGGCTGGCTGCTTGTTCCGAACTTGTGACTCCCACACAGAGTTTACTTGCAATAATGGAAGGTGTATTTCTCTTCAGTATGTCTGCAATGGAGTGAACAACTGTTACGATAATGGCACATCAGATGAGAGGAATTGCCGTAAGTTTATCTTACATACCTAGTGCCTCTTTGAGTTTGAGTCTTTGGCTGAAGGAGAGGTAAATGTATTCATGTGTGAAGAATCATGACAAAATCAGCAAAGAGGATAAAGGACTTCTTCATTTACATTATAGATTCTGCTTTGTGTTATTTGGAGGAAGGAGAATTGTTAAAAGATATTCTGGAGTATCCTAAGATATTACATAATAACCATTGCTCTAAATAGTCTGCCTTGATGTAACATACTCTCTTGCAGGACATACATTTTTACAGGACTAGCCTGGAGTTTGACAGTGGATTTTTACTTTGTGTCATGCTATATTAATTATACGAGATTTAATCATCATGAGTATATATTATGACTTTTATGCAGACACAGTTTATATTTATTCTGTTTAAAATTATATGCTTTGTAGCTCTCAAAGTTTCAGTAATGTTTGTTTTCCTTAAGATGTAAATTGTGATTAGTTCAATATTGACTACTGTTGCAGTTAATCGAACTAATCATGTCTTTGCATTAAGATTACGTTCTTCAGTGGAAAATTTATAGCTGGAGTTAGAGAAATAGATGAAGATATATTTAGTGAATTTTTTTTTTACGTGTTTTTATGTTCACTGATAGGTGCTTTTTTTTTTCATATATTTGTAACTTCTTTATTTTCCCCAGTTAAATCTGAATATTTGAAAGTCCTAGTCTATTAGTCATTTGTAGTTGGTCTGATGATTCAGACAGTACCAGCTGGTTGCAAATGCAGGCATTACAGTGTGAATACATGTCAGTTTACGTTCCCTCACACACAAGTATTGGCATGTGTTTCTTTGATCATGTTTTTGTCAGGATTTCTGTCAATAAAAGCAATTGTCTAATTGTTTCCATATGGCACAAGCAGTATGAGTGCAGTTTAGCAAGCGAGTGAGGTGGGACTCTTTTAACAATATTATTTATCTTTCAATGAGATGCAGTGTAACAATACTAAGAAAAGCTCTAAAGAACTTTTGTTTGTCCCTCCTTAAAGCGGAGCGCACTTGCCAGTCTGGTTATACAAAATGTCAAAGCACAAATATTTGCATTCCTCGAACTTATTTGTGTGATGGTGATAACGACTGTGGAGATATGAGTGATGAGAGCCCTACTCACTGTGGTAAGTTCATAGGGCTTCTGTTAATTTTCTCGTACTTCAGTAATTTATTCCACTGCTCTTTGACATAACTCCAGCTGTTCTTAAAACATCTACTTCTGTAATACTGAAGAATTGTAAGGCATATGCATTTTATTATTACCTCTCAGTTATCTAAATCATGCTTATATCTAATAAAGAAGATCATAATTTTTTCAGCATTTTTATACAGCATTTGAGGGATCATTCCTTCTGCTTATTTTGCACTGTCTGTCTCCTTTATGGTTTTACAAGGTGCTTCAGTATTACAGTGATTTGGCTTTTTTTGGAACTTTCACATTGGGATATTTTTCCTTCTAATCATAATGAATAGCATACAGTCTCAAATGTAATTTCTTTTAGCTCTTTCATATACTTACGTATGCCTTACAATATGATTTGTTGTTCACTGTAGCTTTCAGTTATTGTATAGAAGTGTCTAGTTTTCAACCAGTCTTAATTACAAAGCAGCTTATCTTTGCTACTACAGAGATTATTAGGTAGCAGTTAGAGGTAGTACTTTTCCTGTATAAGATGTTTTGGATCAGTTTATAAAACATAATGGCTATTTCCAGATAATGATTTAATTTTAGTATTGCCTGAGTGGATTACTTTTTGCTTTCACTAGTTTTCCTAAACGTATCTGTCTTAAATTAACCAGGCTACAGGTTTTCTAAAGTATGAGTTCAATTTTTCTAGTCAGAACATGGCCACTTTTATCTATGGACCCCTGTATGTCAAAAATATGTGGCTATATATACTGACATAGTGACACTTGTGCTGCTCATGAAAGTTGTGCGTTGTCCCTTTTGCTGTTTATGTCCCAGCACTGCTGAATTATTTAAATTGGGAAGTGGTGAAGGGGAAGAAAGGAGAGAAAGGGAGAATGGGAGATCAAAGAAGACCCAAGACATTAATGAGCAATGTGTTAATTGCCTTTGATTTCCATCATTAAATGCACATAGAAAAGCAAGCTAAAAGGCCAGACTGGGTCCTTTTTGATACCTTGAAACCATCAGAGGGTGCAGGAAAGTATCTGTAACTACTGAAGAAATTATCAAACCCACTCTATATGCCAGGGGGCTAAAGTGCAAAAGGAATACTTGCATTGTGCTTACCTGGAACTGTTCGGGGTTACAGTTTGTTCTTCACTGCCTGTCCTGTTTGAACCACGACACTGCCATTAAAAGATTCCTACCTGCAAGAGAAGAAAAATCAGTGGGGGAACAAGGAAAGCAATATCTACCATGAGATATTAGTTCCTTACTGCACATTGTGATTCCTTGTAAAGCATAGAGTCTGCTACCGCCTGGTTTGGGCACCGGCGAAATGAGTATATTTGACTGTGCTCATTTTCTTGTGCACAAATCTCAAGTATGAATGTAGAACATATTTACACTTGCTGCACGCAATGCCGTTTCCAGACTAAATTCTGTATACTTATTAGCTGATATTTACACCCAAGGAGAGAATTAAGCCCATTTTTTTGCATACAAAGATCAAGTTTGTACAATGAACTCATTGCAGATAGGCTGTGAAAAGACGTCCTTCCTAGCATAATTTTTTCTCTTTCTTTTTTGGGGTCTGTAATGTTTTTGCATAACATGGACTCAAAAGCAACTTAAAACAAGTTGGAAAGGTAACAGAAAGAAAGAAGTCATACATAGGTTTTTTCTTCCAGTCTCACTAACTTGCACAAATAATGAGTTTCGCTGTACATCCGGACGTTGTATTCCTGCTCATTGGTACTGTGATCAAGGAATAGACTGTGCTGATGGCTCTGATGAACCTGCCTCTTGTGGTAAGTTTATACTCAGAAGATACAACACAATGGGTTATGGGAAATCAGTAGTTACTCTCTTTTTTTTTTTTTCTAGCTTGAAATAAGGAAATAAGTATATTCTGAGGTTTATTCACTGACTCTAAATGATATGAGTCACCAAGTAGTTCATGTCTTAAATGATTAAGTCTGGGTATGGAATATGAAGGCTTTTAATTGCAACAACTGATTACTCTTAATGTAATTACTGTTAATGTATAACCTCCTGTGTCTTTGTAAGACTGCGATAGTGGTGAATCAAGTAACAAAAAGTAGCAAGTATTTTGATATTGTATTGGATGTAAAAGCAGATGTTATGCTACACAGGAAGTGTGTGTGCAGTATTGCATTTTTGGGGAAAATGGGATGCAGAGGAACATTGCTGACACAGTATAAGGTAGACTATCATAGTATTACAGTAAGCAAATCCTGTGTTTACAATAGAAACTAATGGTAATAAGCAGAGTGGCAGGGAAGTAGGTGAAAAGAAGTATGTAATCTCCAGGGAAGAAGAGGAGGGGCTAAAAGAAGTCACTGAAAATTGGTATTACAAAATTCTCATTTTTCTCACTACAAAAGTTGGCATAACATGAAGCAGAACAGATTCTTCTGTGTTTGAAGCAGGGCTAATAGCTTACTTTGCTGGAGTTTACCTTTTGTTTAAGAAAATGTCTTGTATCTTATACCTTAACTGTCTTACATTTAAACTTCGGTTTTACATGTCACTATCATAAGATTCTCCCTAAAATATGTTTGTCGTTAGATTTTCATGGCAGTACAGGTTACTTTAACAAGCAAAGTGATTGTGTTCATTTTTAAGTGCCCCGAGCACAGACTTGTTCAAGCGACCAGTTCAGATGTGATGATGGCAGATGTATCCCAGCAACATGGATCTGTGATGGTGATAATGACTGCGGGGATATGAGTGATGAGGATCAAAGACATAATTGTGGTGGGTGCTTAATGCAAATAGATACTGCACTTTGTCCTGCAAGTATTTTTTAGAAAACAACCAGCCCCAAACCCCCACCCTCTGCCAATTTTTCTATTCATAAAACTGCACATTAAGATAAGGTGCACTCTTCCTGTACTTTCTTTTTCATTATATTGAGTTAAAATAGAATATTTTACTGTGGGAGGTTAATTGTTCTAATTTTGTGATTACTCTTCTTTGAATATTTGAGTTCAAATGGCGGTATAATTAACCTGGGTTGTTTGTGTGATCTGGGAAGCAATAGCAGCTTCATTTGAGGTACTCGCTGGTTGTCATGCACTATATCTTGTGTGTGCATATTAATAACCACATGGTTTTGGCATAATTTCTTTAGAGATTAGTAAGTAAAATAAGCATGGCTTTTTAGAGGGTGAACAAAAGGAAAGAGGTTCACCAAGCCTGGTTCTGCTCCTTGATTCTTTTAACAGTAGATGGATACATTTACCCTCCTTGTTCTCTCTGAACGTGCAGCAAAGTATGGCTCTGTTGCAGATTACAGATGGATACCTGGGCTCTGTGTGCGTAGTGGGAGAGTGTCAGTGAACATGCTTTTCTTTCAGCAAACCGCAACTGCACAGCAGCAGAGTTCACATGTGCCAACAATCGACCCCCTCTTAGGAGGTGCATTCCTCGGGCATGGGTCTGTGATGGTGATGCTGACTGCAGTGATGCATTTGATGAACACCAGAACTGCACACGAAGATCTTGCACAGAAAATGAATTTACTTGTAATAATGGCCTGTGCATTCGAAACACATACAGGTTTGTCACTACCTGAGCTGCTTCAGGAATACTCAAAATTTGCTTAAAATGAAGGAGCTAATTCAAAAATTTTTTCACACTATTTACTTGTTAAGTAGATTTACATACTGTAATGATAGTATTTATCTGCTCTGCATTCATGCATTAGTTTTAACTTAAAAATGCTCTGGAATTTTCTGTTAATGTTCCTAGTGCTCACCATGAGCACTGAATCCTTTTCCTCGTGCCTAGTAATCTCTCTTGGGGTGATTCTGTTCAGCTTGTAATGTATATAGGGAGTACAAGCAGATCTCAGAGAATCATATTCTGTATAATATGAATCTGATTTCTGAAAGTCTCTTTCATTGGAGCCAATAATACCTGGCCGCCTTTGGAAATCAGGAGAGTGTACCTATCCGTCTGCCCTAAAGACAATGATTGTCTTCTTATATTTGAAAAAAGTGTTCATCCTTCTTCAGATGTGACAGGCGGAATGACTGTGGTGACAGCAGTGATGAAAGGGGATGCATCTATGAACCCTGTCAACAGCACCAGTTTACTTGTCAGAATGGGCGCTGCATTTCCAAGGCCTACATCTGTGATGGGGATAATGACTGTGGTGATGAATCTGATGAGCTGGAACATCTCTGTAATACACCAGAAGCAACTTGCTCTCCTCATCATTTTAAATGTGACAATGGAAACTGCATTGAAATGGTTAAAGTCTGCAATCGCTTGGATGATTGCTTAGATAATAGTGATGAAAAAGGATGTGGTATGTGTAGATTGATTTGTACAGTCTTACTTAATTTAAAATGCTTAGGCAGCCTTAAAAAAATAATTCTTAAGACATTTGCTTATTTGCAGTCATAGTCTATCTACTCTCAGAGGGATTAGAAGAAATTTTTATATCTAAATTTTTGTTTCAATTAAATCATACTTCTTGTATTGTTTTAACAAACCATGAAAATTAGCTAATTACATAAACTAAATTTAGTTTAGACATTGTTATGTGTTGCCCTTTCATTTGCAAAATGCACCATTCATAAGTATGTGTTTTCAATTCAGTGTGCTTGGTGGCAGACCTCTAAGGTGCTAGAATACTTCTGTATTAGATTACATTCTTTTCCTTGCTCTTTTATTACAGCAGCTCAGATTCATATTCAGCATTTCCAGGGGCTATCAGGGAGAGAGAGACAGAGTACATTGGAAAGTGACTGCACTGTTTTCTCTGCGAGCTGGTTTCTTGAATAGAACTCTTTTCCTTCCCCAGGTATAAATGAATGCAGTGACCCTTCAATCAGTGGATGTGATCATAACTGTACAGACACACAGACAACTTTCTACTGTTCTTGTCATCCCGGCTATAAACTTATGTCTGATAAACGGACTTGTGATGATATTGATGAGTGCAATGAAACTCCATCAGTATGTAGCCAGATTTGTGAGAACACAGCTGGCTCCTACATCTGTAAGTGTGCCCCAGGCTATATCCGGGAGCCTGACGGAAAAAGTTGCCGGCAAAATAGTAATATCTCCCCATACCTTATTTTTAGCAACCGTTACTATCTGAGAAATCTCACAGCAGATGGCCAGTCTTACTCTCTCATTTTGCAAGGACTGAGAAATGTGGTCGCACTGGACTTTGACAGGGTGGAAAAGAGGTTGTACTGGATTGATGTGGGGAGGAAGGTCATTGAACGAATGTTCCTAAATGGAACAAATAAGGAGGCAGTGATAAGTGATGATGTGCCCAACGGGGAAGGTATCGCTGTTGACTGGGTTGGCAGGTAAGAAAATACACTTTCTGTCTTTCTAGACTACTAAGAAAATGATCTGTGAGGAAGTTTATCTTAGGGTTTTCTCCCACTTCATGTGAAATTCCTGATGAGAGCTGAAATGATTTAGTACTGTGGATGTAGTCTTATATAAGTGGACTGGAATTGTCTATCAGCATCTAATCTGTTACATGACACTCCTTAATAGCTGTCCTATCAAGTATTCTGAGGTTATATCAGAGTTTGTCTCTCATCAATAATGAAGTGCATATGACCCTTGGGAAAAACTTGTTAGGAAATCATTAATGAACAGACTAGGCAAGCAAGCAGGTGGGATGTTACATGTGGCTATGGGGTAGGGATTCTGAGCTTAGGCTCTCTATTCCTTCACTAGCATTTGTTGGGTTTGGGATGCAGGCCTCACTCTATGCATAAACAATATGTTGCAACAGGTAACTAGATTCCAATAAAGTAAGTAATAATAAACTTTAATGAAATTTGGCTCCTGTGCCAATGTGAAGAGCATGTTTCTTTTGCTCTTGAAAAATGCATCTTTAACTCTCAAATAACATGATCCATGTCACTAGCTGTAAGGAGGGCAGTATGAGGGTGGTGTAATTGGAACTTATTTTGCATTATGGTAATTTTTTAATTGCCTGCTGTGTGTCAAAAAGTAATCTGATTTACTTCCATAGAAATTGTCCTTATGTGGTGCCCTTCCTGACAGTGTTTTTGGCTGTGTTTCATCAGGTTTTGCTTTCTGAGTGTGGTACTATCAGGTTGAAAGGTTTAAATATCATGTGTCAGATTTTGCAAAATAATGAGAATCATTCAAAATGTCACATTTAGAACTCAAATGAGAGTGTTTATACGAATATGTCATAGAATCATAGAATCATGGGATGGTTTGGGTTGGAAGGGACCTCAAAGCTCATCCAGTTCCAACCCCCTGCCATGGGCAGGGCCACCTTCCGCTAGACCAGGTTGCTCAAGGCCCCATCCAACCTGGCCTTGAATACTTCTAAGGGTGGGGCATCCGCAGCTTCTCTGGACAACCTGTTCCAGTGTCTCACCACCCTCATAGTGAAGGAATTTTTCCTAATGTCTAATCTAAATCTCTCCTCTTTCAGTTTAAAGCCATTCCCCCTTGTCCTGTCACTACATGCCTTTGTAAAAAGTTCCATTCCAGATTTCTTATAGATGAACTGGAACATAGAACAGATGTGTTCCAGCCCTCTGAGCATTTTAATGGCCCTCGTCTGGACTCACTTAATGTCATTATAATAGTTTTTATTTTTAAACCCGTTTGTCTCTAAACCTAATGATATTTAATGTTGCCAGCAGTCCCAAATTCTTTATGATTCATGGAGAGGTAAGGAAGGAAAAGCCTAATTTTAGCTGAAGTGGTCCTACTGCTCCATTATTAATACAGTTGCTGAATTATTTCAGCTACCATTAGTTATGTCTTCAGTCAGTTTTTGTTTAGGTGTTTCAAAAAGGCTGGAGGAAAATAAAATAGTTGATGAGTTTTTCCACTCATTTTCAGCACAAGGAGAGGACTGGAGGATGCCATAAAGTACAGGATAGGGAAGAATACCTTCTCCTCCTCCCTGGTGGGGATGCTACTGCTCAGGGTGGTGTAGACAGAGATTGTATCTGTCAGGCTTTATCTGGAATGGCCCTGTGGATGCTGGCCAGCTGTGCAAACAATTTCAAAATAGCCTGCTGTATTTTTAATTAAATGCTTTGTTTTGTTGCAGGCTTTTTAAAATCATTGCTCCAGCTTGCATGGTTTCATTGACTACAACTGTGTACACTTCTATGCAAAGTAATAGAAGTGTTAGAAAATTCGAGGTGAAGTTTCAGCACTTGAACTGTTTTTTAAAAGGAGAACCTGGCATGTGTTCTACCTGTTTGATGAGAGCAGAGGTGGCATCATGGAACAGACTATGATCCTTTCCAATACTTCACAGCCCTGGTCACAATCCATTGCACTACATGTCTGTTTTCCTGCTCCATTTTGCTGGCCATTGTTGGTAGGAGAGGAAGAGAAGAAAAAGGGGGCTTAGGAATCTATAGACAAATAACACATAATTACTCAAATCGGCAACTAAGTTTGAATTTGGCACCAATGACTGTGGATCCAGGAACAGCAGGAAGGAAAAGGGCAGTCTGGAGCACTGTGTAGAAGACATGTCAGTTCAGTATGTGTATTCTACCTTTACACTGGATATATTGCTTTTAGGCACATACCCCCCCCCCC